AGCCCAGGCTGGCCTCGAACTCACAGAGATCCGCCTGGCTCTGCCTCCCAAGTGCTGGGATTAAAGGCGTGCGCCACCACCGCCCGGCTCAGTATCAGTTCTTATTCTTAAGAGAATTCAGGTTTTTTTCTTTTTTTCTTTTTTCTTTCTTTCTTTTTTTTTTTTTTTTTTTTGAGACAGGCCTCATCATAGCCTAGGCTGGCTTTGAACTTCCTAGATAGCCAAGGATGACTTGAACTCATGATTATTCTTCCTGCATTTTCAAAGTGTTAGGATCACAGGCAAGGCCCACCACAACCAGCTTGAGTATACCTTCTCTAAACATGAAAGTTATCATCAGTGTTTGCCCAGTCCCCCAGTGTTAACTCTGGAAATAGAGTAAACAGAACTAAAGCTTTGGCTGTGTGCTGTCTTAGTCACGTGGATGAGCCATTATATTTGAGATACTACATTTAATGTTGGGAGTAGATGAAATCCAGCTGAGACTCAAGTAGAAATGTAAGAGGTCACATGAACAAGAGAAAGAGCAGACCTCTGGTTAATATTTAAACCCACAGCTAGTTAATAATTAGTCAAGAAATTATGTATAGTCTGAATCTTAACCTGCCTTAGCATGGGACCAATTATACATGGTCAAATAATCAAGGTAAAATAAATAGACAGGGTCAGTTAATCATCACTTTAGTGAAGGGTTGGTTTGGTGAAGTCAGCAGTCTGGAAATGTATTTTCCTCATCTGTGAAGTTGAATAACTGTGTCACTCAAGCTTCTGCTTAGTTTCTTTCTCCAGAAGGATCTTCCCTGGCATCTCCTTTCCCCCAAACCTCCCAACCCACCACCCAGCATCTTAGAAGCAGCTCCAGCGCCCTCTGTTTCTTGTGTTATTTCTCATCATAGCTCCTGTCTGTACCATTGTCTTGAGTATTTGTTTATTATCTGAATCCTTCACTAAATATAGCTCTATGAGTACAGACATTTGGTCAGTTTTGTTTGTTGTTCTCTTTGAATAGTTTCTAATATGGAATGAACATCCAAAACATTGTCCTTAAATGAACGAATGGACTGTTGCTCTAAATGTCCATTTCTGTTCTCTGTAATGACCCAACAAGGACATTTTTTCTGCTCTGTGCTAGTTGTTGATAAAACTGCCTGTTTTGAATGCTTGACTCTCCTCTAAACCTTTCAAGGGGATTGAAGAGTCTGTAAGGACCAGTGAGTTTACTTCTGTGCCTAGACCATAGACCCCCACCTTTATCCACAACTAGGCACCTTTCAAATGCATGCAGTATTGTTCCTTCTCTAGTAAAGCCTTCCATGGTTTCTGTAGCACAATTATTTTTTTATTTTTTTGGTTTTTCTAGACAGGGTTTCTTTGTGTAGCTTTGCACCTTTCCTGGAATTCAGTTGGTAGCCCAGGCTGGCCTCGAACTCACAGAGATCCACCTGGCTCTGCCTCCTGAGTGCTGGGATTAAAGGCATGCGCCGCCGCCGCCGCCGCCGCCACCACCACCACCGCTTGGCCACAATTTTGTCTTGTCGTTTGTACCCTACGTTGCTTTTTGTTGTTGTTGTTTTCGAGACAGTGTTTCTCTGTGTTGCTTTGATGCCTGTCCTGGATCTCACTCTGTAGACCAGGCTGGCCTCGAACTCACAGAGATGATCCGCCTGCCTCTGCCTCTCAAGTGCTGGGATTAAAGGCTTGCACCACCAACCCCCGGGGGACATTTACCTTTCTTTTAAGTGAAGTTACACCGTTGGAGTGTTTTGCACAAGGAAATGACATTTTATGCTGCATAATTTTAAAGAGAATGTGGCTGTTGAGTGACTAGGCCATAAATAGGATAAGAGTCGAGGCAGGAGACCAATCAGGAGGGAAAATTCTAAGCAGACTGTTTGCACTGAATCAGTGGTGACAGCAGAAAGATAAAAAGGCATGGAGGTTATAGCTCAATGACAGAGACCTTTCCCAGCAAGCAGGAAGGCCTGGGGTTGATTCTCAGGCAACACACACACACACACACACACACACACACACACACACACACACCCCACACATGAGAGAAGGTCATTATTTCTATTTTGTGTTCTGAAAGCTCAAGGACAATTTTATTAATGTTTAAGAAAAAACATAGTACAGGTTAGGTACAAATACCAGCAGCTGCCAGGAGAAGGTAGAGAAAAAGTAATGGCTTTTGAGTTAGGCATTAGAAATAGACAGCTTATTTTTAAAATGGGAGGGGCTGGAGAGATGGCTCAGTGACTAAGAACACTTATTCTTGCAGAAGATCTAGGTTCAGTTCCCAGCACCCACACGGTGGCTCACAACCATCCGTAACTCCAATTCCAGGGGTTCAAACCCACTCTTTTGACCTCACAGGCATATACATAGCACACATATATTCAGGCAAAACACTTATACACAAATAATAAATGAGTGAACAAACAAACAAACAAACAAACAAACAAATAAATAGGGTTGGAGAGATGACTCAGTGGTTAAGAGCACTGGCTGCTCTTCCAGAGGTCTTGAGTTCAGTTCTCAGCACCTACAGGGTGGCTCACAACCATCTGTAATGGGATCTAATTCCTTCTTCTGCCATGCAGGTGCACATGCAGATAGAGTACTCATACATAAAATG